TCCCTTCCCCCTCTCTCTCACACTATTTTTCTCTCTCTTATGCTTCTCTCTCTTTCCACCCCAGCCCCCCTCTCTCTCTGAGGGGGGAGACAGGTTTCTTGTGTCATTAGCCCCAATTGTTTAGACAATATTATCCCCCCCCCCCTCACACACACACTCGCGCACTTTCTGCGCTCCTTCCCCATTGTCCCAATTTCTTTTAAGAGAAACGAACACATAATTTGCAACATGGATATAATGATAGCTTTGTTTCCCTGTAAGTGCAGTTGTTTAAATTTATCTTTCAAATGTTTTACCTGATCTCCGTAAAACATCACCCACACACACACACACACTCTCTCTCTATCACTCCCCCCCCTCTCTCTCTCTCTCTCTCTCTCTCTCTCATACACACAAACACACATACACACACACACACACACACACACACACACACACACAACGCTCAGCAATGCATTCACCGTTTACACGATACACAATCATCATGTCACAATAACGAATGAAAAGGAACCATCTACAAATACCGTGCACATAGATAATATTAGTAATAGTAATACAAATAATGATGATGATGATGATGATGATAATGATAATAATAATAATAATAATAATAATAATAATAATAATAATAATAATAATAATAATGACAGGTAGCATTTTACAGTGTAAATTTCCTCTCAACAACAAGCTCTATGTGCTTCACAATCTATACTGTTACCTCAGCAGACCTGAGAGCATTCTGAAACACCCTTAACTTCCTGGGGGAGCATACAGTGCAAATACCCATTTATAGGAACCATCTACAAACACCGTGCACATAATAGATAATCATTATCATCCCCTTCAAAGTAACCGAACATAAATCGCTGCAACCTTCACACAGCCGTTAGGACAAGCAACGCAGAACACCCTCTCTCTGCCCCCCCCCTCCCCCTGCACAAGAATAGCCTGCAATCAAAGAGTGCGGGTTCCTTCAGATCTCTCCACACCCCCTTTGTCAGTGCCAACAGGTCGAGATCGATCAGAGATAATTCTCCCTCGTTTAAGGATTATTTACTATCTTAAGCAAACACAGATCACCTCTTGCCGGGGCAACTGTACCCCATCTGGCTCTAAATCACGGGCCAGTAGTTCTCGCTGAATGTCTCTGTGATTGGGTTACACATTACACAGGGCCCATGTTTTCGTGTTTTGTAGCAGAGGCAGGAATCCATTCAGCTTTATGGAAAGCGGTGAAAAGGGTTGGGGGTAAGGGAGGTTGGGGGAAAAGGGGGGGAAGGGAGGGGCGGGGCTTGGGCGGGGGAGCAGTCTTGGTTTGGGCTCTCACAGGGTGCTGTAAGTTTATTGATTACAAATTATGTTTTACTTCCTCGTTAACGCAATTGAGGTCAATTTGGAGGCAGGCCACTTCAGCACTGTTTCCGCGACCGACTTTTGTATTTGTGGGTTACTTAATCTACGCAGAAAGATGGGGGTACTCTATAACATATCTTCTCCTTATGGGAAAGATAATGTCGTTTGTGAGCGAGAGCAGGCTTCGGAAGGCGACTTGGGACAATCACAAATTTGATCTGAAATTCGGACAGCTAGAAAGTACGATCAACAAAGAAAACTAACTTTTGAAGACTCTTAAGAAAGTTGTACAAACAAGACACACCAAATGCATAGTATGCAGTGTCATCGATTCTTAGAAGGGCATAAATTTGTTCTAACAAAGTGTTTGATTGACGGGTGCTCTGGTATGGTTTGCTCCTTCTTTCCTATCAAACATCTATGGTCCTAATCTCTCCTCCTTCTTTTTTAAGTTTGTTACTCTCTTGAAACACCTCTAATCTTCGGCAATTATATGACCTTATTCTGTTTCAAGTGCCGTAAAACTCCTACTAAAACTAAAACTAACAGTCTCATTCTCTGTGTCGTCCCTCCAGATACCCTCATCACGTGACCTTCACATCCCTCTAGGACAACCTGGACGTCTGACAGAGAGCTGCAGGGACCAGGTAGGTCTCTCACCTTTTGTGTATGCTGCAAGTGCCGTAAAACACTTTTTAAAAAACTGTTCTAACAAACAAAAAAACCCAACAAAAAACAATCCTGTCTTTTGCTCAGGAAAGGTGTAAGATCGTCAAACAGATTGTTTTATGAGCGAAAGAAACACAGGCAGGTCCATAGACGGGGTCCTAGAGTATGTCTTGGCACGTACCCACACAGGAAAAGACTGACTGAGGGGAAGGAGGAGAGGGAGGAGAGGGAGGGGAAGACAGAAAGAGAGACAGAGAGTGAGAGAGGTAGAAAGAGAGAG